AGAAAGGGAAAAAAGGCACCGCGCTAGATACAGTTGACACTTTTGAAAAATCAGAGCCAAATCTTTCATCATGATATGGTCCTGCAAGATACTTACCACGTGAGGCGGCACGCAGGGAAAACCGAATCAAGGTCAGTTCCAGGAACAAGAATATTGGCAACAGCCCACATGTTCTCATCTTAGTCCATGTCTTATGAATGGAGCAGCTGCAAAACAACGATAGTACTAGTATGAGGGCCGGCACTATTTCAAATATGAATATTGGACCTAGATACAGATATGCAAATCTCAGCTCCTCCTGAGAGGAGCCTGAGGAAACGATAATGTGTGTGACCTTGACCTGCTTTTTCTGATGCCCAACATTTTTCCAACTTCAAGTTTTGTTGATCCGGAATTTTGTGCCAATCCCCGATTTTCTAGGAACTGGGGTCGAGAATTCCAAGACACTACAAAGGTGGCAGCGCTAAGCCTGGCAAAGGACCTGGCGGCTTTGGCCGACCGCCTGGGAGCCCCAGAGTACATTTTCTTCTAAATTGAACCTTGTCTACCATCGAGGTGCCCGACTTTAGGGCTTCAGGGGTTTGGAGTGTAGAGGGTGCACAAGGTTGGTTGAGTGGCTTCGGGGTTACTGGCTTCAGGTACTCGTACAGTTGGATAGGGCGTTCGGCTGGCCGGGTGGGTCAGTGTTTGTGAGGGCGTATAGAACTACCATGAGTGTATTCCCTAGCAAGTATGCGGCAGGAGCACGCCCAGTCTCTTTTGTGCCTGATGCGGTGGGGTGCCTTTACTAAGAGCCATCCAGGATGTCATCATGTTCAGGCACTGCATAGCTCTGTACTTTCTCACCCTGCTAAGGTTCCGGTGTCCAAGCAGCTGCACCAGAAGTGGAGGCAATGGCGTGAATTAGCGTAGCGGCGTAGCACAAGTTGCAGGTAGCTAATTTGAAGCTAGCTTCAGCTTCGGGGTCACATAGTCCTCGCAACGATGCCGCTGGCGCATTTGTTGAGGATGGCGGGGCGGATGTATTGCCACGACCTCTTGGTTTGGCGGCGCCTCTGACTCAGAGCACTGAACAGCTCTGACGGCCTCTTGCAACAGATGAGATGTTCTAAGCCAAAGGTGTGATGTGGATGACGACAAGCTTTCAGCTTCCTCGAATGTCCACCTCGCCGCATGCGCAAGGCCAGGCAGAGAGTTGAGGACATGCCGATACATTGCGGTGCAGCCCCGGAACCCCTTGTAATTCCAGTCCAGGGCGCGTTTCTCTACAGGCTGAATCGCAGCCTCTGTGCTGGTGGTTGGCGTGCTGCGGCGCTCTCCGCGGATGCGTTCCTGCAGGCTCGGAGTTACTTGCTGATCAACCCTGGAATCCTTGAGCCACCTTAAGCCATGAATCGGCCACGAACTTAATTTCTTCTCATACCCCATATAGCATAGGCACAACAAACTGCACATGAGTCTTTCAGAGCGGTACCCAAGCCCTGTGAAAGATGGCTGCCAGGTCGACTTAGGAGATGGCTCCAACCAACAGGCTGGATGCCTCAGAATCTTTGCTTTCCAGATGAGTTCTAAACTGACAACATTCTGCATCGGATTGAACAGGGCTTGTAGGCAATGGGATTCGATAGGTCTGTCATCGGGTTGATGAAGGAAGCTCATCGTGACCAAGCATCAGATGGCCATCCTTCTGCTGCAGCACTTGTGCCATTCCAGGTCTTGGCCGCTGTGGCAGTGCCTGAGCCCTACTGCAGAGCTTATGGGGTCAGGAGTTCTCAGAATGAAACGGTTGTAAAAGTGTGACAGTAATCTAAGAGAGCTTCAAAACACGCATGCGTTGTTTTACAAACGGGCATCAGGAAGCCCAAGAATTGTGAGACCTGCAAACAGGGATGCTTAAAGCCATAAACGCCCCAGTGATCATGGCGGTTTTGAGCCCTGACGGTAGCCGCACTCATAATTATTCAGCCCGTTGGAAAGACATGCTGGGTGGGCGAATGAGCATAGCCGTACCATTGAGCATGGAATGTGCTGCAGAAGGAGAAGGTGAAGGGCCATTGCATTGTTCTGTGGGCCATGAATACTAATTACTTCTTCCAACCAAGAGGCCAGGTGACAAACAATTTCGCAACAGACCATACATTGCCTGTTGCACAGTTGGGAAGTGTATTCAGGGAGGGCCGGATGGTTGGGCAGTCAGTGACCTTCGTTTTGATTTTGTGCCGTCCATAGAGACGGCATCGCATAGTGCCGATGACCAGATTTCTAAGGGAACAGGCTTCAACGTTTCTGCAAGTTAACATCGTTTCTTGCTTGGCTTCATGTCATGTGGTCTGGTTGTCATCAGGTCTAGGTGCTTCGGCTCCAACTATTCACGCACACTTGCCAAGCTGTCTGCAGTTTACGCTGTGCCCGCGGGGCTTCCACTGCTTCAGCGCCTCGCGCACCAAGTGGTTTCACAGGGAACAAGCAGGTTGCTCATTCATACAAGCCTGACACCCCATAAACAGGAGGAAGCCTTGGATCCGATCTCAAGGCAGGGGCTCCTTCCATGCAGCGGTCACTGGCAGCAGACCCATGGACTCCTGCGGATGGCCCTAGGAGAGGATGAGGCGCGTTGGCTGTTCAAGGGTTGGGGGGCTTTGGGTTTGAAGAGTTGGAAGGGTGCAGGGGTTGAAGCGTTTAGGCCCTATGAGTGGCTCAATCCGAGGCTCGTGGGTTCAGGCTTTGATTTAGTGCCTTCTGATTCTCATGAAGACCTTGAGAGATTCCAGTCGTATCGAAGATGCTTTGTCAGATGCTCCGGCCTCAGTCCGTTTGTTCAAAGGCTGTGATTTAGATCTTGAGCGGGTTAGGAGTTACATGGCATCAGAGAAGGCGCATGTGCAGTTGTGTGTCATCATCTGCACGATGCGAACGCAAAATGTGAATTCCTTGAAGGAAGAGGTGGTCGCGCCGGGTTTGACGCAAGTTTCTGCTGCATATGTAAGGCTTCGTTTCCCTGGGACGGAGGTCTTGCGCCCCACCACCGAGCGCACTTTCCTTCGGCCCCCTGTGAGGTGCGTCGTTGAGGCAGGATTAGGGCTTGCAACGGGCCATGAATGTTTTCATTGAAAATTGAAGGAGGCATATGTAAAGCAGTGGCCAGTGCCATCACGCATTTTTTCGTGAGTCTCATTTGACATTTCTAGTCCAGGTCGCCGCTGCTTTGCGGAGCCGAGGTGGAACAAAGGCAGTTTGGGCACAGGTAAGTTTTTCACGTCACGGATGCCGAGCTAAATTCTGACTTTTTTGCATACAGGGTCAGCTGCATGGGATGATCCCTACAGTTGCAAGAGGGAAATGATGAGCCCACATGCCACTTATCGAAAATCCCTGTGTTCCCAAACCTTAAAGCTTAAAACCCTTAAACCCTAAACCATCCTAAACCTGTTTCTTGCTTCAGGAGGTGGTTGACTACCCAGCCATGGCCAAAGAAGCCAAGGTGGAATTCCTGACAAGGTCCTGCAGAAGCTGACTTCTTTCAGACCACCAAGCCCTGTAGTCATGTGGAAGCTAGTTGCAGCAATCCATATTATATATATAATCATTACAGGGGGAGGCCCCATCTAAATATACTTCCCATATACAGGTATATCTATCTATCTACTTGTATACATAAATATGTATATACACAGACCAGGTACCCCTGTTGGGAGAAGCCTCATGCAATAGCGGGATACGTAGCCAAACCGCCACCTCATTTTTTAGCTAAAAGGGGAGCCCAAAATCCTTGTGGAATCCCCAACAAATATCCCTAGGGTCAAGGGCTGAGGCCCTACTGTAGGGTCCCAAAGAGATACATGTTCTTGAGAAATCCGCACCTGTGACTTGTTGCATTGTTTGCAGGCTCATCCAGGAGGCAACAGGCTTCCTCAAAGTTGCAGCCCCAGTATTTCACCCGCAAGTCTTCTCAAAATAATTCCCACATGCTCCGTGATAGGGACCCCTGATCTCTTGTTTTCCGTAGGGTCTCAAGGGCCTTCTATTTGAGAACCCACACCACCTACGTCAGCTCATAGGGCCGTGTTTGCCTTTTTGGGTTTTATTGGTGGATTTGGGATGGTTCTCTCCTTCTTGTTGCTTTGTGCTTTGTTCTTGTAGGATTGATTTCCAGCACGCTCCCGCCATCCACTAGGACGCGGTGGCCCCTGGAACGTCGAAACCTTCTGTACAGGGCCTCTCCGACAGCGAGGCTCAAGATCTTCCTTGCAAATGAGTTTAAAAGATTTACAGTCATGTGGTACTGTAGTTCTAGGGTCTAAGTTAAAGGGTTGAGGTTAGCAAAATCTGCCAATTAGTTTTCTCAGAGCCGTGGAGAGCATGTTCTTGGCGGAGTGCATCTACTTAGGCATTGGGCTGTTTGTAGGATTGCTACTGCTGTAAGCGTGGCGAGGAAGTCTTCTTCTGTAGGTCCTTTTCTTTAAGAGTTTTGGGGGCGAATCATCCCCTCATCACGATCCCATACTGTTTAGAAAGCTAGCTGGTCAGAACCCGGGGGGTTCTAGCCGCTCTAGCCCTGTACAATTTTGCCATGTTGTAGTTCTGGCCCCGATCAGTCAGTCAGGTGTAGGGGCGTCCTTCCTTGCTCCTTTAGCCAGGAGGAGGGCCCCGAGCCACTAAAGCTCACGGCACAAGACATCCTTTCCGGAAGGCGCATGGTTGATTCTTCTGGGCTCTTTGAAGGGGAAAGTCCGCATTCTAGGATCCTAAAAAAAAATCAGAGAAAGTGGGAGCTCCCTGCCATGGAAGAAGCAGGGTCAAGTCCTTGAGCAGTTTTAGTGGATCCAATCAAATACAATAATAGCCAGGCAAGCAGTTGATGTGACCAAGGGCTAGCTGTCAAAGTTGAGGCTCCTATAGAAACTGGCCTTTGCTGCCTTTGCCTCTGGCACTCGTTGCCGTACTTGTCTCAGACTGCGTTGCACATGCGCTTGCCGCTTCATGGCTCCATGCAGCAGCTTTGCAGGCACCCCACATATTATAGCTTCATTTTGAAAGGGCTGGGGTGCGCTAGACGGTGCTCACTGGAAGGAATTGCGGCGAGACGAATCGCTTGCTGCAGCTACTTGCATGCCGCTCTCTTGGCCGGGGACTTGATTAAGAGCCCATGGCAACTTGAGCTTTTTACAGCATCTGACCGTGAGATGGTGTGGCTCCGAACACGAACAAGAAGCTGGATACAATAAATATGTACATGGAGCAGCGCGTAAACTTCAAGACCAAATCAGTTCATCCTCCCGTGGTCTCGTGGGAGGCCAAAGTGCCACAAGTGAATGGACAAGCCGATTTCGCTTGCAGCCGAAGCCTTACATTCTGGCCCAGCAGTAGCCATGCACTCATGTTGCCTCGTTCATATCGGATGGATAGAGATACGATAACTCAAAGCTCTTCTGCAGCTTGAGGTATCACGAGCCTGAGAAGGGGTGGCTGTGGTATGCCCCTGTCTCAGGGCGACCTACGCACGTTAAAGCTTCTCACTTCACACTCCGCAATCTGCCCGTGCGTCAGAAGACGTTTCAAGGGGAAGTGAGGCCCGCGTAGATGAAAGTGAGAAGAGCTGTAGTAAACCTCTTCAAAGGTGCTACTGTAGCCTAGCTCTTCTTCAGGAAGCCAAGGCCTATATACATTGTTATGCTTCTCGTGCAGCTACGGCTCTTTCTAGTTTGATCGTGGCCTCAGCATGTTGGATGCGTTACGCGTCTCGGGCCTCACTTCGCTTAGTGCCATGTGCCAGGTACGCGTTTTATTCAGAGCACATCCAGTGCGTAGGAGTTTTGGTCGGAGGAGATTGATCTACATGCCTTCGTTTGCGTGTGAGCAGGGCTTATGATGACATAGCCGCTCCTTTGCACACATCAGCGAAGAAAATGAGGCCGGCAAGCATGAGGGCGAGCACGTCTTCGAAGGCAGCACCGACGCGCACACGGCAGCAGCCTTGAATATGGAGCCATGGTGGAGCCTGTTCAACGATTCATGAGAAGGCGTCGGCTTGTGCGAACCTGATGTGTAACCGCAAACTCAACTAGCAGCCTTACGAGGTCACTTGCTGCGCACATCTAACTTTCATAACTTCTGTGCTATGTGCTGGTAAGAGCTTCAGACTTACCCAGGTCGCATTCGTGCCGCTGCCCGTGCCCATCACAGCCAATCCCTGAGTCTACAGCCTTTGGCGAATGCTACAACGCCATGCTCAAGAGTTGACACTGCTGTCAAGCTTTAACTGGTAAACTAAATGCATATCTGTAGCACCGTGAAGTCAAGCAGCGACCCAGCGAACATCATAGGGTATCACGGAAAACCAGCACCCACACAAAGTGCAAGTTCACAGACACCTTGTCCATGTTCAGTCATTTTGCTCATGGAAACTTCTCAAGATAGTCCCTGAAGGAATCCTTATGGGAGAATTCCTTTGTTGCAAGGCCAACAAGCTGCGAGTTTGCCCGTCTGCCTGGCATCGGACTGAGAGCCCACCAGGGCTGCCAGAGGTGAGATGTGAAAACAAGCGAGCCACATGGAAGCTTGTGAACAGAAAAGTCTCGTCAAAACCTTGCACCTCTTCTAGCCTCCCGTGTTGTTCAGCTGAATTTACCCACGGCCTTTATGGCGGTATAGAATGGTGTGGGCCCCATGCGTTTACTTGAAAAAGTCCATGATTGAAATGGACGCCTCTTTTGTGAATTGCTCAGTATGTGCCTAATCAAATTCTGCGTAGTCCACAAACTCATTAAATCATGCCTGCATACTCCCTTTGGCACCAAAAGTTTGAGAAAAGAACACCTTGGAATTGGAGCCCACCACATTCTGGGTTGCTCTTGCAGCGCTGGAAGAAAGCTAATTCCCCTAATGCAATAATGTAATTATGCGCTCCTTACACTGGCACACGACTTTAAAGCCAACCCAGCATTCCACTCAGGCATAGCCATCCGGCTCTGAGACTGGAGGTCTTTGTGCCGAGCCGAGAGCAGGGCTTTGGGGGCTAAATCGGTAGAATGAGAGTTGTGGACAGAAGGCATCATGAACGATACTGATAGTTACACTGAAGTCGTGTCAAGGTAGCTTAAGGCATTTTAAGAGAATCCTGCATTACCAGGTGCTTGGTTGGGCATGAGGAGTGAGTTGACTTGATTTGGTGCCTCTTAGTCCCAACCGTCAATTATCGCCCGCACTGGGCGGAATCGCAAAAACAAAGGACATCCAGGGTCGAGGTAGAATATTTCGTCAAGACGCACATGAACTGATAAATTGGTCCCCGCCCAATCCCTTAGCCCCCGTACCCCTGGGGCTTCTGCAGACCCTTCATCATCTTGAGAAATTCGACTGGTGCGGTACTGTTTTGTTCCATGCGATGACTATTGCTCTTACTCTTACTATCACGATTATCGTTTATCACTATTCCTATTGCTATCATTAGTGCTAGCATTTTTATTGCTATCATGATTTCTTTTAATATTGCTATTACTGTTTTGGTATCACCAGGTGCTGCCTTCCATGGACGCCTGGCCGCGAGCCACACGCCTCTTCGAGTGCCTTCGAGCTGAGACCCCAAGAAGCCTTGCCACTGAAGGATGGCACTTGCAACCATATGAGCTATAGTCTA